TAGGTCAAATTGCGTGATGTTTGTGCCAAGACTAAGCATGTTTGTGGTAAGTATCAAGGTCTTTTACAACCTTTACCAATCCCATCTCAAGCCTGAACACATATTTCTTTGGATTTTATTTAGGGTTTGCCCAAATCTTTGGGAAAGAATGTCATTTTGGTGGTCATTGACAGACTGACCAAGTATGATCACTTTATTTCTCTTTCCCATTCTTATACAGCTATGACCATTGCCAAACTTTTTCTAGACAACATTTATAAACTTCGTGGTCACCCCCTAAGTATCCTATCAGACAGAGACAAAGTGTTCACTAGCCATTTTTGGCAGGAACTCTTCAAACTCATTGGCACACAACTAGCTCTCTCTTCAGCCTATCATCCTCAAACCGATGGATAAACTGAGAGATTAAACCAGTGTCTGGATAATTACCTCAGAAGCATGGTCTTTGAAAATCCTAAGAATTGGGCTAAGTGGTTATCCCTAGCTGAATTCTGGTATAATACAAAGTACCATACCAGTTTGAAATGCACCCCTTTTGAGGCACTATATGGGTACCCCCCCACCCTCATTTTCCCTTAATCCTTACATGGACTCAACAAATTCAGATGCCCTTGACTTATTCACACAGAGAAAGCATATGCAAGACCTCAAAGGGAATCTACTCAATGCACAAAATTGGATAAAACAATATGCAGATCGTGGCAGAAGTGACAAAACATTTGACATAGGCGACTGGGTCTATCTAAAGCTGCAATCTTTTCAACAAAACTAAGTCGCCCTTTGCAAAAATATCAAGTTATCTGCCCGTTTCTTTGGGCCTTTCAAAATCCTAGAAAAAGTGAGAGCGGTTGCTTACCGTTTGGATCTCCCGGCAGGCTCTCGTGTGCATCTTGTTTTCCATGTCTCACTCTTGAAGCGCATTCTTAAACCACTTGCGATTGCTTCACTTGATTTTCCACCACTGGATGGGGATGGAAGGTTCCTCGCAAACCCAGTCGCCGTCCTTGATACACGCACCATTCAACGTGGAGGTCGCGTCATGTCGCAGTCTTTAGTTACTTGGTCGCCGACAGATCACTCGACAGCCACTTGGGAAGATGATGTCTTTCTACGTCACAAGTTTCTATCTTTTGATCCTTGGGGTCAAGGATCTCAAAACGGGGGCGGTATTGTTGTATCTCAGGGTGATATTGACGATATGGTGAAAGTAAGGAGGGATCGGCGGAAATTAGGGTTCAGGCGATGGAAAAATTGGAAAATAAAAATGAAGAAAAGAGCGTCAATTGCAATCACAAGGGGATTAAGGGACGACACTTGTCAGATGAAGAAAATTGCCTCATTTAGTTTACTGTTTACATTTCCCATTTTTCCCTTTAGTTACTGAATTAATGTTTATTTGGGTAAAAAGTGGTTACTTGTGGGGACCACTAGTTTGTATTTAAGTGGATATTTTGGAGGAATGAAAGCAAGAAGAAAATTATCTATTCTCTCTCTCTTTTCTGTTATTCTCCCTCACTCCTTCTCACTATTTCTTCTTCCGCAAGCTCACAGAATTCACAATGACCAGAAATTAATACAGTAAATTATACAAACACTTTGGGTTCACTACAAATCCATCCAGTCAAAATGCTAAGAGTTGTCTATTTGGATGAGTGACTAATGATCGTGTACCAAGCCAGATATTTTACTCACAGTTGTATAAGTAAACTAACTCATAAAGAATCGGATATTCAAACATCTATGTCTAATAGTGTTGACACAAGAAAATACCAAGACAAACTTCTATGAATCGAATATACAAACTTCTAATCCACAAGATAATACCGAGACAAAACATGTATGACACTATTCTAAACTTTCACCAATTGCTGCATGTTAATAAAAAGACTTGAGAAGTGAAATCACATAGAATCCCCTCTATCATATTATAATGATATAATATTACTAATATTGTAGTATTTTTAAACAAAACCACCTAATTGAATTCATGTCAGCAAAGCCAGCAGGAATATGTGAAAGTCATTGAGATTAACCTCACAATCACGAAGCCAAGATTAATTTTCTCGTGGAAATATCTCAGTGAATAACCCACATGAATCGAATTTTTTAATGAATGTTTGTTCCATTTTTGTTGCATTTTTCGTTTATATTTTTCCTTTCTTTTTCCCCCATATTTGGTCTTTTAGTTAGATTTTAATCCGTTTTGTCGTTTATTGTGTGTTTTTCTCAGTTTCGGTTTTCTTTGTGTTTTTCGTATGTTTTTCCGGTTTTTCCTTGTTTTTGGTGTGCATGTCGAATGTTTCGGGAGAATTAATTTTCAATGATAAATGGAATGGGTGAACTTAATTAATTAGAAGGGTTCGTCAGCATCATAAAGAAAAGAAAAATGGAATTGAATTCCGAGTCCAGATGAGAGTAAACGAGCCTGAGACACAAGCAGTACAAGAAAGCTAACAGCTCTGCTCAGGTCCCCCGCCATTGCCGCGCCGCGGCACTCGCCACGACTCTGTCAGAGAGGCCTGCTCGCTCGTCCGCGCCGCGCTACCCTCCGTGCCGTGAAGGAGACCTCTGCCATGCCGCTGCATGCATCTCCTCCGCACCGCGACGCTCTGCCACGCCGCGGCACCCACTCTTTCCTCACGCCGCGAGCCCAGGCGTGATGCACATCATGCATATACAGAGAGCAGGATTCCAGCTCTGCGCCGCGGCAAGCAACACGCCGCAGCAGACCAGCATCCTTCACGTTGCGAGACCACTCCACGAAGCGGCACCAGCATCCTCCACGGCGCGGGACTACTTCACGGCGCGACACCATCATCCCTTCACGGCGCGGACTCCTCTCACGGCGCGACAGCTATCTTCTTCGCGCCTACGAACTCTCTTTACGTCGCGAGACCATGCTCCCTATATATATGTGCTTCGGGGATCGATTAAAGAATTAACCTCTCGACCGGGGGTAAAAACCCTAGGTCCGAGAACACCATGAAACCTTCAAGAGACGCAAGTGTGAGACATAAATGTGCCTTATATCCATTTCAAAGCTTCTTCAGGTCCCTACCTCTGTACCCGCTGCTTGCTTTTCAAAGTCAGATACGACCGGAAGTCTACTCCTATCAGTGAGTACCGGTTTTATACATCCCCTTATTTCTCATAATGCGGGTGGGACGTCATTTGTCCCCGCTAGGTTGTTTAGTCTATACTGGATTTAGGCATTCCCCAGGCCTCCTTCTTTTCTCTTCTTCCTCTTATCGTTTCTTCTTATTTTCTTAATTCATTTCTTCTAATTTTCATCTAGAATTTGTTCTTACTATTGAGATTAAGCTTGTAACTCGTATTCAACCCGTGGATTTGAGATTAATCGTAAGTTTCTTTTCTGTTTTTATTAATTCATGAAAATGGTTAATTTGAGGAGAATGATTGATTGTGTTAAATCGAATTTACGTAGCTAATCTTATTGCTAGGGATAGGGGATAATTGTTCTTGTTAAACGTGCATTTTTCGGGCTTTGATTTGTTCATGCTTGTGTGAGTTGAATTGATTAGGAATTGATGAATTTGTGTTCGATAGATTGATATAATCGAAAAGTGACATTTCGATCTTGCTATTGGTGACAGTTGGATGTTAATTTGTCGAGCTAGGGTTTGTCAATTCTATATGATTAGTTGATTAAACACCTTCTAGTTAAATTAGCGACTTTTAGAACCGAAAGGGGAGAAGTCGTAGAAATAGGCTCACATGAGAAAGATGATTTCGTAATTGAATAGTCTATAGGTTTTTAATTGAAATACGTGCGTGTCGATGACCCGTCCCTTGTTACGAGAAGTTATAGGGATTGGGATAGTTGACTTGTTTTGTATGCTCAAGCTTGTACGTCTATGTTCAATCCCTTGTTTCGAAGAGTTATTGGGAGCGAACCGCTAGATGTCTAAACGAGAGTGTCAATCTCGAACCGAACGATTAATTGCCCGGTTTTGCTAGAACTTGAATTAATTGTCCCCGACTCCCTAGTTCTTCCATTGTTTCGTCTGCATTTTTAGGTAGATTATTATTTTTATATTATTTCTTAGCTGGTAATTATCCTATCTCCAATCGTGATTAGAATGTTTAGGTTGTATTTTCTTTTTATGTGTGATCGATATCAAAGCTGAATTCCGAACCGCCTTCCTCGTGAGATCGACCCGGGAAACGAATCTTTCGATTCGGTACTCGGTAAAAAATAATAATTTGTACACAACAATGAACAATCGAGCAAATTTGTTTGGATATGAAACCATTTATCTTGCTAGTATTAAGACACGAATTATGAATAAAATCAACTCAACTAACTTGATCAGATTACACACAAAAAAAACCCACAAATCCCACCTCATAATTATGCACAACCAATATCACATTTTTCCGCTACAACAAACGAAATTCATCTTCCCAAACATCAAACACATTTCTCGACACTATATGTGTAAAAAAAAAAAGACAAACACCCTTTGTGCAAACCACAAATATTTCCAATCTTAATTCAAAAGGGGGGAAAAATCAATAATAATAATAATAATAATAATAATAATAATAGTAATGATAATAATAATAAATATAATAATAATAATAATAATAATAATAATAATAATAATAATAATAATAATAATAATAATAATAATAATAATAATAATAATACACATACAATAGATCCTGATTGGGGAGTGATGGTGGGGGAGATTGGGATGGGAAAGAAAAGTCTGGTGAGCATCGAAGCAAATGTGGTGGATCTTTGCCTCCAACAACTGAACTAGTCTGGCCAACTTGCCTTAGAGTAAAAGTTTTCTTCCTCCTGACGGGTTCAATCAACCCACTGCCTCGATTGTTTCTTTTCTACTGCATTTTAAGACATAAGCATAGTTTTTTGTTTTTTGTCCAAGAGAATGAAAACTAAAATTACCTGGCATCAACACAAAAAAAATTATAAAAAAATGATAAAATTACCTTGACGAAGCGACAACACTTCATCATCTGTCGGAAGTCGCCGAGCCGCCACCTAACTCGACCCTGACGATCATACTCCGGTACTTCGACGTCTTCACCCACTTCAGCCCCAGCGCCGCCATCACCGACCTCCGGTCATCCGCCGTGATGAACCCGCCTCTCTCAAAAAATGCCTCTCGCACGTCCTCTTCACCTCCGTCTTCCAATGCCGCCGCGTACAAGGCGTCGAACTCCTCGGCGTCCACCTAGGCGTCCCCGTTTATGTCAATCTTTCTAATCATCGTCGCAGCTTCTCCTTCAACACGCAGATTCCGAAAGCTCCTCCCCGCTGATGTTGCCATCCCCGTTCACAGAGCATGGAGAAGACCCAATGGAGCTCCACCGTGTGCATCTCCTCATGTCAATCCCTAATGAGAGAAATGGTTTGGATTGGATTTTGGGAGAATTGGTTTGGGTATGATTTGTTTGGATCTGATTGTGGGAGAGACGACGAGAGAGTTGAGTTTGGTTGGAAATAAATTTTGGAGTCAAGCTTTTTAAGTGATAATAATTTTCACTCAATAATTTTGGGAGATACTTTTCACAATTGATATACCGAAATAAATTTGGAGTCAATCATTTTATTAAACAGAATAAATCTTTGACTAAATCATTTCAATATTTGAAATGTTGCGGCTGTATCTAATAAGATAATATAATTTTATTTATATTGAAAATCATAATTAAAATTTGTTCCATAATCAATGAAATTTACCATAAAATCAATTCAAGACAATTTAAAATTCGAAATGAATGATCCAATGGCGAGATTTTTCAAAAATTCTGAAAAAATTTACCAATATTAGTAAGTTTTAAAATTTTAGAC